CCGAGGGATTGGGATGGCAAATCACCCAAAGAAAGCTGAAAAGAACCGGGCTGGGAGAGCTGGGAATGTTCATCTGGAGAAGGGAAAAGGATCCAGGGAGAGCTCAGAGCCCCTTTTGGGGCCTGAAGGGGCTCCAGGAGAGCTGGAGAGGGACTGGGGCCAAGGGATGGAGGGACAGGACCCAGGGAATGGGGTCACACTGCCAGAGGGCAGGGATGGGTGGGATATTGGGAATTGGGAATTGTTCCTGGCAGGGGCTGGGATGGAATTCCACCCCTGGATCCCTGGGAATGCCCAAGGCCAGGCTGGAGAACCCTGGGAGAGTGGAAACATCCCTGCTTATGGCTGGGGTGGCACTGGATGGGCTTTGACCTCCTTTTGAACCCAAACCATTCTGGGAGTCCATGAATATCAAGAACTCCAAACTGAATTCTCTGGCACATTGCATGKCTTTAGTTTTAATCTCGTTCTGGTACTGAAAACCGCTTTAACTTCTTGTTAAATTTGTATTTCTGCTCAGAAAAGTGCCAACCACCACCCCCACCCCCGAAATCACTTTTTAAATTGTTCGCTGGGGAGTGAAGTTACAGAACATGGGCTGCTCTGCGATGTTTTGTTCAGATTTTGGATTAAAAGTGTCCCCTGGATACGGCAATTGAGTTTTAAGAGATGATTTAAGTACGAAGCCGCTAAAAAAGGGAAGCCCCTGGCATCTCTGGGATGAAACGGATCCATTTGGCAGGTGGGGGTTTGAGCCAAAACCACCATTTTTGAAACAGGTAACACCCAAAGGAAAATCTCCAGGCGAGGTTTGAAAGAAGGCAACTTGTGCAGGAGAGAATTCCTCTGTGCAACAGCAGCAGAGGAAACATAAAATAAATATTTGAAAAGTGGGAAAGGCAGAGAGAGTCTTCCTTTTGGGCTGTGCTGAGGTGGAAATCAACCTTCCCGGCAGTGAAATAAGAAAGGTTTGGGAGGAGAGAGATGTTGAGTTACTTTGAGAGATGTTGAGTTACTTTGAGGTTAATTTTGGTTTCATTTTGAAGGAATGTGCGGCCAGGACCAGGGTGTGAAGGCTTTAAAAATGATTCATATTAACGATGCCATCCATTGAAAAGGGCAGAGAGAGCAGAGCCTGTGGAGCGTTCATCCTTCACGGAAATCACCCGAAATTTGCTCTTTTCTGTTCCCAAGGAGATTTGGGAGAGAGAGGTTGAATTCTGGGATGGAGGAGCTGGGAAATGGATCCATCTGTGAGTGATTTAACCCCCAAATTCTGTGTGAGGGACGCTGGAGAKGGGACTGAGGGGTCCTCAGGACACTTCCCCGATTGTCGGGAATTCCTGCAAAGCACGGGAATTTTTTGGGGGAATGTGTATGGTAATAACCTGCTAATTACAGCCCGGAGAACAGCACAGGTTAAACCGGGTGAGAAAGCAGAGGAGGATCTGATGGATGAGCAGTCAGGTGAGCACCTGCAGATGGGATCGGAGATAGGGCTGGAATCACAGCAGATATTCYCCAGGAGCTGGGGATGGAGAGGAGAAATCGGATCCTTGTGAAAAAAACATGGGATATCTGTTTTCTAGGAATGCTCATCCATTCAKCCTTCAGTTTCGACAAAGTGCCTGGTGGTGGCTTGGAAAATTTGTTCTGAAACTTGGGAAATCACCTGTTTTTACTCCTCAAAAAATCCCGATTGTTGCTGTTTGTAGCTCCTCAGAATTTTATCCTGTTTTACACAAAACTGGGGATCTCATGCAATATTCCGAGATGGTTTCTGTCGCAAAAAAAATTATATATATATTTGGGGGAACAACATTCGCGAGCCTTCCTGAAGGAACAGCAGCACAAAAATAGCAGAGAGAAGCTGGAAAAGCAGAGGTGGGAATGCTCATTTTGGAGAGGGCTGGGCCGGGATCTTGCGAGACGGGATTTTCTGGGTTGGAGATTGATTATCCCGGGAGATTACGAGCTATTGAAGGAGCTGATGCTGCCTGGGCAGGCAGGAAAAACATTCCTAATCTGGGGGATAATGTCACTGGGAAAATGGGGAGAAAGAAAGTCCCGAGGGGTTTTCAAACAGAGAGAGAGAAAAAAAAAATCAGATTGTATCTGTTACACTTGAAAACAAAGCAAAACATCTGACGAACTCTAAGAAATATTTCTATTTTTCCTATGAATTTCTTACATTCTTATTTTTTTTCTCACATTTTTCTCATTGACAAGAGCTGTGGAAATCACCTGGGTAACTCCTGTCCCGGTGCCGTGATTAATTTTTTTTTTAGCAGATATATAAATTGCCRTGTCAAAGCATGAAAAATTTGCTCCATTAGTGCAGGAGAGAGGAGCAACAGGTTGAGAAAACATCCAGCCCTGTGCAACRTTAAATCTGATTTAGGTGAAGATCAGGAGCTGATTCTTGGAAAAATTAACGTGTGGTGGTCAAAAAAAGAGCAATTTTGGGGGGTTTTKGAGGATTTCTGGTTTCCAGGACGTTTGTGGACATCTGGAATGGGAGAAGGGAAGGAAAATAAATCCACTGAGGAGCAGCTCCTTGTTATCTTTGGAGGCAGAAAGATGAGAACATCTGAGCCAGTGGGTAGCAAAGAATGTCAGTTATGTTCTAATCGAGATTGGTGAATAAAAAGATAATCATCAGTAAATTAGAAGAGGTGTTGAAAGCTCAGTTAATTATAGGAAATGAGGAAATTAGAGTGCTGAGTCTGACTGTTTCTGATTCACTTGTTAATTTAAAAAAAAAAAAAAAAAAGAAAGAAGAAGAGTGGTGGGGTTTTTTTGTCACCTGTACTTTTGGCTCAGGTATGTAGTGAAAAGGATTTTTAAATTTGATTTAATTTTTAATAACTCCTTAAATTGGGGATTTGTCTTTGGCTGGGCATCACCTGGAGGAGGTTGTGGTTTTAATGCATCTCGCTGAGGTCAGGGATTGTTTTCTGTTGCACTGAGCCCRAGTTCCTGCTGGCCATGAAGTGCAACACAAAAACTCTGCTGCCTCTTCAATCAGAGTCGTTTTCCCCAATGATTTTAAGAAAAGAAAAATAAAGTTGTAGCTGGAGAGTCTCCATATCTTATTTTTAACTCATTATTAAAGTCTGTGTGAGAGGTAGAAGTGGTTTGGCCAGAGGAGCATTAAGAAACGTTTCAGCCAAAGTTTTGTGTCATAAAAGGCAGAATTTATTTTTGCATTTATTTTAGGAATTTCCTATTTTTAGTCTTTTTTTTTTTTTTTCTTTCTTTGAACAGCAGCAAACGGATGCATTTAAATAATCCATAAAATCCCTTTCAGAGCTGGAAGAGCTCCCCAGAGTCACCATCACCTACCAAATTTCTTATGTTTATCCTTGGAAGGAGCTTCTTTACATCAAAATAATGAAAAGCTGTTGATTTTTCAGACTTGCTCATGCAATAATTCTGAGCAACCCCAAATCTTCCTGGCGGTGCCTCTTGCAGTTTGGAAATGGTTGTGAAACCACGCTGGAATTATTGGCCGAGGTACAGACAACGGAATATTGGCTGCTGGCAAGGGAATTGGGTGAAACAGAAATCCAGTGCCCCTCTGGGACTGGAAAACCAACAGGAAATCTCCCCAGGAACTCAGAAATTGATTTCCTTATATTTTTAGGGGGACTTTGCGTGTGCAGGCCGTTTCCTGAATTTACAGAGAGGTTCTTTAAATAGCAATGGGAACAAATACGATGCCTGAATAAATAATTCCAGATGGTCCAGATATTACACTGCAATTATATGGGAAAATTACATTGGAAAGGGCAGCATTTCAACATTTCAGGGCCTCTCTGRGAGTTTATGGATAGAATATTGTCCATATCAAACTCTTGTCCTGTAATCCCTTTTCTCATATGTTCCATGGCAGGGCTGGAATGAGCTGAGCTTGAAGATCCAACCCAAATTATTCAAGGATTCTCTTGGTTCTGTGGTTATGGGAAGAAAAGATTCTGGAGCAGAGTGATTTTTTCAACTTTCTGTGGGGTAAACCTCATGCCCAAAGGATAATTATAATAATTTAAAATTCTTTACAGTCCTTTGATAAACAGTTTTTCTGGTCCAAATTGTTTCATCCTGAGTAGCAACTTCAAAAGGAGATATTGCCAAAGAAAAAAGGTGAAGAGGAGATGAAACAAAACCCCAGACTTTGGTGTTGAATGGAGTTTGATCCTCCTCAACTCCCCTTTGCTGGTATTTTTTAATTTGGGATGATATGGGTTATACAAAAATGTGCATTTTCCTGATTTTTGCCCTGTGTGAGAGGTTTTTTTTTTAAGTGCAGGTGTGAAGGGTTAAGCAGGATGAGATCCTGTAGCAGCTCTGGTTTTCTGGGAATAGATCTGGGAATGTGGAAATGCCCAGCTCAGCCCTTCAGTCATGGGGCAGAGCTTCATCCCCTGGGCTGGGCCTTCAGCTCCAACCAGCAGCAAAATTCAGTGGGATCGGAGCATGGGGCTGACTGCAGGGGGTAAAAACCCACCAGAGTTATCCCAGAAATCGTTGTGCTGGGATAAGGAAGGGAAAATCTCCAATTTCCCCACTTGATCAAGTGCCTGGGTTTTTGCTACTCATCCATACTCGGTTTGTGCAGCCCCCTGCTCCACAGGGAGCCAGGATGGGAGAAACCATGGCCAGGGAGAATTTTCCAGGGCTTAACCCACAGGAAATATCCCTCACTCCATGGTTTGCTCTACTGTGATCCACGGGGGTTTATTGCTGCACTCGAGTGTGATTGATTGTGATAGAAATAAAGGATTTTATCTGAGAGGCTGCTCCCTCACATGACGTTTGCTGGGTGTGGGATAGCACAAATATCACCCTGCATTCCTAAAATCTGGAAATCCCATCTAAGAGTATCAATCCCAATCTCCTCGCTCAGATTCATCCCTTGCTCAGATTGGAAAATAAGCAAACACTTTCCTTTTTCAGTTTTATTTTATTTTACTTTTTTTTTTTTTGAATCTTCTCCCCTTCTTAACTTTGTCTAGGAATCGTGGAACCGCTCTAATTGACGGGGGGGTTATTAGGGTGGGTTTGAGCCAAGGTTAATAAAGCAGCAATTGAGCAGATACATTAAAATGTCTGGGAGAGGGGCTGAAGGCGCTGGCGAGTGCTGCCATTGACCTCGGCGCACTTAAGGGCTCCCAGTCAGACTCCTGACGCCACGAGGCGCGCAGAGCGCGGCCGTGCTTTTATGCCTCGGGTGTAATTCAGCCTCCTGGTGCTCTAAGAGCCATTCCAGGCATTGCTTCAGCACGTTTGGACTTAAAAGTAAAGAAAAAAAAAAAAAGAAGTATTTTCTAGCTGAATGTTGTTTAAATTTGTTTTCCACACCCCGCGGTTTTATTTATCCACGGTATCAATTGTTTGTAGCTGTTCACTTGCAGCGATCGATGGAAGTGGATCAGGGATGAGGAAGGTTTCCTCCTTCCTTCCCTGGAATGATGAATCCTGTTCCTCTCTCCAGAGGGAATGGGTTTTGGCCTTGATCCCACTGGGTGAGGAGTGTGTCCCTGCTTTAGGAGGGGTTGGGTT